TTTATAAGAAGTCAGTGCCCCAGTCGGGAGAGAACTCGTTTATACTCTTCGCAAGCAACATCATCAATACAGACCTTACTTCTAAAGGCGCACGTCACGCAATGTTTCGAGTAGTTTCCGAGGACGAAAATCGAACTTGAATCTAACCTCGCACAGTGGAAGCGAATACAAGCGCCATCACACTAACGGGTACCTTTAGCAGTCATGGGTTCCGCAAAACACACCGCCTAGCTGTCTGATACCAAGCCGCCACCCGATTTGCAGAAATCAAGCTCCCTGATACACTCACCAAGTGTCTCGCTTGGCCCCCCTTGCCTCCGGTGGGACCTTAGCCTTTGGTTGCGTTCCCGCAATCTGAGTGCCCGTGCAGTGACAGGTCGGTTCCGTGGCTTCCTTGGCAAAAGCTCGAGGGTCATCCAATGCGGAAAGCACCTGTGCGACAAGGAACCGCACACGTTCGCTTTCACGCCGACTGCACACAAAAGGATCACGTTATAAACGCTCCGAACAGAAAGGACTCAAAAAGCAAAACTAGTGAGCGAGCACTCACCAATTAGACTCATATCCACAGCTGGTTTTATGGGCACGCCGGCACCTAGGACGCTTCCTTTTTCCAAGAACGTTCTTCGATGTTTGTTCCTAAAGTCTGAAAGTGCCCGAAAGTTGCGAAAGTTTTGAAACTCGCTTTGCTCGCTTCGTTTTTGAAAGTTTTTGCGTTTTGTTACGATGGCGATGGCGATGCGGCGATGCTCGTTGGTTCCGAGTTCCGACCAAGTTTATTTGACGCAACGTGAATTCGCTTGTTTTATTCGACTTAAATTAAAACTTTAAGATATAAAAAAATTGTTTTAAGATTTATAAAATTATTTGTAATAAAGCATGTCGAAGCGCAATGTGTACTAAACTGGAGCTTGGCCAGCTTGGCTTCGTCAGCTTCGTTTCAATTTGACATGGCGGCGACCACTATTGTGCCGTGTACCGTGCTCGACCTATTTGCTGTGCATTGGTTGTCCTGTTATCCACCTCTTGCGATCCTCATCAGCCCCAAGCATGCTGTCTAAGTATTGTGTCCTCGCCGGAAAGAATATCCAGTCTTCTTGGAAGCGTTGCTCGAATGTCGTCGGCACCCACGAACCGACTCGGTATGCCTCACGTCGTTGCTTGGTTCCTCCGCGTTTCCGGCGATGGATCCCCCAGCCCTGGCCTCAGCCCTACAGGACGTAGCCGGTGAAAAACAATCTACGACAACGCGGTGTCTTTGGAATGCGATTGCTACGATCAGTGGCTCTTAAAACCTCAGTAGCCCCCCTTCAATAGTGAACTCTGCGATGTGAACGCCCTTACCTTCAGTGTCCGGAGACTGCTGCAAACCTCCGACGAGAGCGGACGTCTTCTCCGGGCTCCGCAAAGCCCAGAGAACTGTACGCGACTGTACGTGATCCTGGTATAAACATCGCCGCGCTCCGTCGGCCCGCCGCAGCACGTCCGCCGAGAGATCGGTTCGCTCGAGTCTCGTTCTGCGAGCGGCACGCCCGTTTCTGCTTCGAATATGGCTACAGCCGACATCGCCGCTTCGCAGCTCACCAGTATCTCTGCGTCCATCCTGAGACAGGACATGAAAATCTCTCTAGAGCGAGACGACCAAGGTGGGAAATGGATCACCCCTGGAAAGCCCCGCAAATCTCGTCTTCCGGCCGACTTTGACCCCGAACTTCACGTAGTTATAGTGCATCTCCCAGTCCGTCGTGCTGGCGCAGCTGCGCTGCCTCTTGACAGTTTGCCGGCGTTCTTGCAAGCCGCACAGCTCCTTGCTCATACATGTACCGACGTGTCTCTCCACCTCCGGCAAAATAACCGTCCTCCGCACCCATCACGAAGCGATCGTCAACTGGCTACTTCGCATCACCAATATCACCTTACAAAACATTTCCCCTCCTGTCCACTCCTACCAACCCCCGACGAGATCATCAATGATCTGGAGTCTTATCAAGGTGACATCCTTCAAGCAAGGCGAGTAGGCACAACAGGTTCAGCCATCATCACCTTCATCGGAACCCATGTCCCTTACACAGTGTACTACCGCCGCCTTGAATTTCGCTGCCGTCCCCACAAACCTCGAGCCCATCATTGCAACAGCTGTGTCGAGTACGGACACCGCACTCTGGCCTGCCCGGGCAACCAGCGACGCTGCCCTTCGTGTTCCACCACCCTGGCCCGCCCAGACGAACCCCATCCCTGTACTCCCTGGTTTGCGTTGCCTCAACTCGCAGTGTGGTTCACAAGCAGGGCACTTGGTGCCGAATAAGCTGCTGCACCTTCACTCACTCCATGAGACGCATCCCTGAACAGTTCTAGCGGCATGTAAAGCGTGGATGCAGGATTCGGTTTATGGCAGTCACCTTGACAATTGCTACAGTGGAGCACACTGCTTACAGAAAGGATCGTGCTAAGAACTGTAGGGGTGTGCTGGTGGTGGTACCTTTTCTACTACCCTTTTGGCGACGCCGCGACCTGGAGCTGGAACCTCTCACAAGCATGGCAAGGGGCTGCTATACTGTGCATGCTACCTGGCTTCCGTGAAAGCTGAGTCCTATGACCTGCCCAGCGAGCCACTGGTGCTCATTAACACGATTTAATTAAATGTGTGCATACTAGACGTCTTCAAGTTGAGTCGCTCGGAGTGCAGTGTATACCATGGAATCATTTCCAGTGGCCCCAAATACTCGACAGTTCGACGGTACAGTGTGCTCAGTCCACTTGTTCTCAACATGTTTATTAATCGTGATCCCTGCAATCAACTCCACTGCTGTTACGGACGACCTGATACTGGTGCCGCTTATCAGGTGGCCCAAGAAACCACCAGGGTTTGCAGAACAACATCGACAAGGTCTACTATAAACAGCCAGCTATGCTTCTTCGCGCAGCCTGATGACAGTTTTGTTCAAAACGTGCGGAACACTGGGTTTTGTACTTAGCGTGTCCAGTAGACCAGGCCATAACAGACTTACGTGCCTTTCACCAGTGGCGTACCAACTTGGTTTTGAGTTGGGGGAGGGGGGGGGGGGGGGGGGGGGGGGCAAACTAAACCCCCCTCCCCTCCTCCCCCCCCCCCCCCCCCCCCCCCGGGACCGAGGAGCGGTGCCCTTGGTATCCCTTGGGCGCTGCCAGCCAGTGTTTGCCCTGCCCAGTGGTGGCTGTTTTAGGGGGGGGGGGGGGGGGGGCAAAACACGACTTGCCCCCCCCCCCCCCCCCCACTCTAAGAACTGGGGGACAAGCGCCCCCCTTGACCGCCCGGTTGGTACGCCCATGCCTTTCACAGCCCTGGTCCTGCCACACCTAAAGTATTGCAGCTCCATATGAGACTCCTGTGAGATTGATCTTGTAAGATCAGTTGAAAGTGTTCATCGAAGGGCAACTATACACTATTCTTCGGCAGCCAAGCTCACTCCGGATCACTCACTGCTTTGACATTGGCTAGAATTCTGGCCCTTCAATGGACGACCAGAGTTGATCTCAAGTGTGGCCCTCCACAGGTTGTCTTATTATGCCTCCTAAACAGCGTTGTGGAACTGCAAGTTCATGAGACAGCACTAAAGGGAGTTGTTTGCAAGAATTGGGCTGGTGCCTTTCAACCGTTTCGTACTGTAGAGCAACAGCCTTCCTTCTTGGTGTGGTCTTCACCGTTCTGGCAATCCCTTTATTTGCACTCACGCAGAACCCCCCTAACAATCATCACAAGCTCGAAAACATCTGTAGACAGGAAACTTGCTACCTTCACTCCCACTGAGGTAGAGCAGTGCCTATGTGCTTTAACGTGAATTGCTGACTTTTACTTGATTTCTATTTTGTGTTTCCCCCCACTTTTATTTGTTCCTTTTGCAGGGTACTGCGGGTTTCTTGGTATAGTCTTTGGCCTCTTTACTATAACGAATTGCTCTTAGCAGGATTAGACGATAAAAGCACTTCTAACGCTTTTATCCTCTACTATGGTACTCTTTGGCACACAACTGTACTATTTTATTCAACCTAACGAAAAACGGGTTTTATGTCCGTTATGTAAGAAACGGACACACTGTCCGTCAGAATTACGACAAATTGTTTGTAAAATTACGGAAATTTTTTACAGTGTGGCTGACGTGGCCACTAAGCCGTTGGGTGGCGTCGGGTTTCGGGCGTTCGCCTCTCCCTCCGTCCACGAAGTCCAAGGCCGGAAATTGGCCTGGTTCGCTGTCATTGCGAACGTGCTGCTTTGTTTGCAGACACCGGACGGGCCGCACGTTGGGGCGCCAGCTGTGGGATTCTAGTTTACCCCAAAGTCCTCAGTGAGGCAAATACCCACTCCGTAACTCGTCGGATGCAATAAAGTAGGTTTCGACTTACCTTGCTGATCGCTGTGAGGCAACACCCACTCCGTAGTTCGCTGCTATGGCGGCTACGGCCGGGTCCGTCCGTTGACTGCCGTTAGGCTCCGGTGGACGGGAGACCACACCAAACACAGGGATACCGTAGAAACGTGTTTATTGGGCTTACGCCACACGCTTTGCGCCCGTAGGCGGAACAAAAGAGAAAAGAGGTTGGCGCTGCCTTAATTGACAGGATCACCAGGAGAAAGGTCCGCGCTGCCGGAACTGGCAGGATCACGGAGAAGGGGGAGCAGTAAAATAACGATGAATACTCCGTCGAGCGTAGCCCCCCCTAACCAAGAGCCCCGGCCACAGGTGGGTGGCCGGCTTATGTAGCCTGCGGGAAATAGACGCGCCCGGGGAGGCCGGTAGAAGGTCACTCGAAAACGGGACGCGTCCATAATCACTCCCAAGGGTGTGCCGATGGCGCGTTCACCCAAAAGGGCAAGGGAGAACCGGCCCCTTCGGGGAATTCGGCCTCGTGGTTCCTTGTATCCGGGAGGCCGACGCCATTGGTGACGACGACTCCCACGGCCTGCTTGAAGCTAGGCCTAGATAGGGATAGAGGGAACCCAATGGTTCCCACAACATCAATACCGTTTCTATCGCCCTCTTCGATTCTAGAATTAGGTTCCGAGGCCTGGTGCGAATGCTCTCTCCTGCTTCCTAGAGACACGCAACATGAAGCTTCCTTCGAGTCGCTGCCCTTTGTGCAGGTCTTTGCATCGTGACCAGTTCGACTGCAGTACACGCAGTAGAGTTGTTTCGGTTTCGAACGGCAGTCAGATGCCTTGTGTCCCGGTTTGTCGCATACAAAGCATTTGACCTGAGGTTTGTTGGTAGTGTTTACTTCCTTTCCTCTTGTGTCCCCCAACTCAGTCTTTTCCCCAAATACGAGCAAGTTGCGTTGTCGTTGGGCTTCCAGGAAACTGTCCGCCACCTCAGCCGTCTCGCTGAGAGTCTTACATTTCCTCTCTCTGAGGAACAGCGCTAGTCGGCTGTGGCAGTTATTAAGAAACTGCTCGGCAACTACTAAGTCTCTTAGCCCTTCAACGTTAGACGCCGTGCCAGAGAGTTCCACCCAGCGATCAAAGAAACTGGCAATTCTTGCCGTATACTGTCTTCCGATTTCACCGTCCTGGGGTTTGCTCTCACGGAACTTCTCCTTGTACCCCTCCGCGGTGAAACGAAACCGCTGCAGCAAAGCCAACCTCGTTTTCTCGTAATCCATCGAAACCTCCGGACCGAGTCGACCAAAGACTTTCAAAGCCTCCCCGCTGAGACACATACTCAGAGCTGTGGCCTACTTTTCTCTCGGCCAATTGTATCCCGCTGCGATGTGTTCAAAGCGTTTCAAATACGCATCCAGATCATCCCGTCGGTCATCAAAGGGTGGGATGATTTTGTGCGGATTAATTAGCAATGAAGAGCCTCCATCCGCACCTCGGTCACCTGCTGCCGTTACTCTGGTTGGACTCTCGGCCTCTGCCAACCGGACTTTCAGTAACAGAGTTTCGCGTTCGCACTCGGCTAGCGCGCGTTCAGCAGCTAACTTCATCTTTGTCGCCTCTCTTGCGCACTCGGCTAGCGCGCGCTCAGCATCTAACTTCTCTTTTGTCGCCTCTCGTTCGGCTACGCGATCCTCACGTGAGAGCCTTTCTTTCTCTTTTTCCTGCGCCTGTTCAGACTCCACCTAAGCCCTCAGCTCCACGTCGCGCAACTCCAAGCGCTCTCCAAGGCCGATCAATTCTTTCGTACTCACAGTCTCTTTCCTATTCAAACAATGCTCAAACGGCCTCGTCCTGTCACGGACGCCAATTTTGTCGTAGGTTCGTGGGGATGTCGTGTCATAAATAATGAGAACGAGACCGTTGGCTTTGAGAATTGTTTAAACAAAGAAGATATAAAGAAAACTATATACAGCAATGGTCTTAGCAAAGGTTCTACGAAAATATTTAGAACAGCGATATCAGTAGACGTTACACACGCGGCTTTCACAGTTCTTAATGACAATAAAAAAATGTTCGTCATACGATTGGTCTTGCAGTCTTCTGTCGTTGCGAAGGTGGAGACGGCTAAGCGGGCGGAGTGTTGGGTTCCGGGTCTTCAGAAGTCCGGACGAACCCAGCGAGGGCGAAGGGCAGGCTGACGAGTCTCTGAGTTCCCGGCCTTGTGGAACCAGGACGCACTCAGCAGGAGCGGTTGCCAGGCCAGCGCATTCTTGAGTTCCCGGCCTAGTCGAACCGGGAAGAACTGAACAGTCAGCCAGCTCCTCGGACCGCTTGTCTTCTTCTCCCCCTTTTCGTTCTTTTTCGCTCGTGCCTTTTCTCCGGCCGTCGACGGTATACCTCGTGGCACGCGGGGCCATGTCATGGCGAAATCATTTGTAGCCCGGTGATGGCTCTCAGCCGCGCACATCACAGAATGCCTCCGGGTTACGGAGGCCTTTGGATAGTTCCATCTTGATCGGAAAGTACGGTTTTAAACGAAGGCGGATGTACGAGCCCGCAGCCCATATTTCACAGTGTTACCCACTCCTCGATCGGGGTGACGTGGCTTGTGGGCAGCGCACAAAATACGAGCAGCAAGGAGGTGAGGAAACGCCGATCGTCCGCAAGCGTCTCTGCCTCTCCTCTCGCTTTCCTCCTCGTTACGCGAGCAGGTTACGCATGCGCACTTGAGAACGATCTCACTGAGAGGCGACCGTCATTCAATTGCAAACGTTCTTTATAATTTCAGTTGCTGCCTCCTTTAAATCTATGATCTCCAGTGCTGTGTCGTAAAATACTTTAATATCTATTCAGAAAAAATCCTTTCAATTGCATGCTGTAGACTGAGCATGCGCACGGAGAGCTGTGCCCTGCATGCTGCAACAATTCACGCTCGATGGGAATTTCCCAATTTGCGACCAACGCTTTCCGTGAGCTTGCAACCCATTCTTTTTTTTTATTCGCAGTGGCGTACGTCGTTTTATCTTCTGCCTATAAAGGCATTCCCGAATCAGCTCCGCTGCTACGCAAAGCTAATTTTGAGCTCCATTTAACCTCTGCCAGATATATAGTATGTTTTGATAGTATCTGTTCGCCATTCAACGTTCCGCCCATTTCTCGAATCCAGTAGTCCTTTAACATTATGTCAACTCCGCATCTTGCCATCCGTGCACCAGCGTCTGCGTTCCGCTGCTTTTTGGGTGATTCACTTTTTACTTACTAATATACTTTTTGTGTGTGTGTGTGTTCTTCAATAATTTGTATATACGTGTATTCATGTGATCACAAGCCAGAAACTATAAAGTGTCATCATGCTGAAGAGAGACCTCCTCTGGAAACGTTAAAATATGATTTACTTGTTGTTTCTCGAGTCCGTGGATTTTTATTTTTTATTCGAATAGCCACCGGACCACCAGTACCGTTATCTGCAGGTTGTGTGGTTATAATTGGAAGACATTTATAAAACGAAATAGTTTTCGTAGAAGCCCCGTTCATTCGGTTTGTGCGTTTGATTTATACCTCAAGGGGAAGTAATCTATTAGGATAATACTCACGGTCAAATATTTACCCCTAATTTAAGTTTTTGTTCGTTTTTCTTAACTTGCGAGAGAAATTGTACAGGTTCAATAAAACAACCAAAAACGTACTGAGCGTCATCTAAACTCTCTAAATCAGTGAATAATAATAAGAAAAGCTTTAAGCAAATGTGAAGTGCGGAGGTGAATAAATGCGTATTATAAGCCATGCCGCGCTTCTCAGGGATGGACTTTGACTAGGTGCTAACTAGCCAGGCTCTACTTGCAAAAAGGCAATATTGACTATCCGCTGATTGGGCAGACTATTTAAGCTTTTGTTTGCGTTTTGAAATATTGAAATTTGATATTATCCATGGGATGCCTCCCCTCGCCAAGCATGTCCCTCATAATGTGTTGGTGTGAATTGTTTTGTCTGCCATAAACTTTTGATTCCACGACTGGCGAAGCCAGGAGGCATAAATAAAAAGCACACATTGCACAAGTATCTAAGGTTCTACTTCGATATCATGTACTGGGCGTTTATATTTTACCAAAAATGCTGAGCTATCGCTCATCCCGTTACGTCGATGGCAGCTCCCGTCATGAAGCTACTCTTAGGACTGCACATGAACGCAATCGTCTCGGATATTTCCTCAGGCCTTGCCCTGCGCTTGAACATCGCTGACTTGTCGAAAGAGGCCACCTTTTCTTCGGGTAGGTTGGTGAGCATAGGCGTATCGACGGGACCCGGCAGAATGGCATTGACACGGATGCCCTTAGTGGCCACTTCGAGGGCCACTGCCTTGGTGAGGGAGACGACGCCGCCCTTGGAGGCGGAATAGGAAGGGAGTTCAGCAGAGCCTATTGTCGCGAGGTCACTCGCGATGTTCACGATGGTGCCGTCCGTGACGTTGTTAGCCAGCATGTGCCTCACCGACGCTCGGTTTATCAAGAACGTTCCCTGTGAGTGAGAAAAAAAAACCCGCATATCTTGATCATAGCATATACTCAGACGCTCACAGAATGAGAAGAAATGATCTGAGTGCCGTCTCTGTGTGTGTGTGTGCGTTTGACGTCAAAGTTCACGTGACCCCAAGACGTCAAGCGATGTCATGATATGACTGACGTCACAGGACACGTGACCTCGTGTCCTCACGTGACCTTAAGGTGTAATGTGACATCATGGTTTCACGTGGCATGGTAACATCATTATCCGTTCCTATGGACTAAGGTCTAAATGTGCCATGGCCCATTGGGCACACGTAGCCCAGAGAGCATAGTTCATATATAATCTACGTGTAATAAAAACCGCTGGAATTTCAGGCTGGAATATTACGGTTTGCTCGTGATGATGAGCGTATAAACACAGATTATTTTTAAAGCCCACTGAGTTGCTACGTGTAAAAAAAATCTTCAGTTTGGTTATTTTTAATATTATTATAAGAGCGTCGACCCGCGTCCCGGTCAGTGCCGTATCACGGAATGCTGTAGTGATATGAGAAAACAAAATGATCCCGAATACGCACATAAAGTTCATATCTGAGCATCGTCTTCTAGGTTTTTCTGCTGACTGCATACGGCCCTGTATTTTTTGCGTTGGTAGGGCTATCCATTGCAGAGGTTGTTTGCAGTGAGCGCATGCGCACAAACCACATAAACAAGTTTTGTTCTCACGCGACTATTCGGGCTAATATCGTCGCAGCGCTCCAGTAGACGGCGCTGACCGGCCTGCCGTTCGGTCGACGCTCTTGTAAAGGTGTCACGGATAAAAGAAAAAGGCAGAGGAACGTAAAACTAAAAATAAACATTTACCGGGGGCGAACTTGAGCCATACTAAAATGAAACCACAAAGAACCGTACATTTTGCAACGAAAGAGAGACTATCCTGAACCGGCCTTTTACTGCAGCTTTTAGTCGCAACTCCAACGTCACATAGAGGGCAGGGGGGTAGTATCAAAATGGCGGAAAAAAAACGGGAATATGTTCTCCATGATTTTCCCGGGTGCCCGCATGCTCGCGCTGCTCAGTTTGGAAATATAAATATATACATATATATATATTTGCCTACAAATACAAAGCGGGCTGGGCAGAAGCACATCACAGGTTTCGGAAAAGTTGACGAGCGTTAACAAAATGAAGCTGGTGGAAATTAACCATTTTGATGTTAGCCTGAGACTGAGACAGGAAAAGAGGAAGTTTCGAAGCAGAAGAAAAAGGAACAGTCGAGGATACGTCTCTAACATAGCTAAAGACAAGTTTATTCGGTCACCCTCTTATATACACTCCACAATCTTCACCACAGAACCTTCGCGACCTCCAAAGCCAAAAGATAACAAAGAACTCATCTCTTTCCACCACAATAATCAAACGACAAACGAAAGGTCGTTTGATTATTGTGGTGGAAAGAGATGAGTTCTTTGTTATCTTTTGGCTTTGGAGGTCGCGAAGGTTCTGTGGTGAAGACTGTGGAGTGTATATAAGAGGGTGACCGAATAAACTTGTCTTTAGCTGTGTTAGAGACGTATCCTCGACTGTTCCTTTTTTTTCCACTTTGAAACTTCCTCTTTTCCTGCCTCAGTTTCAGGCTTACATCAAAATGGTAAAATGAGCATGTTGATTTTAAAAGCTTCACACCAGAAGAGAATTCCTCTTCTGAAGCACTCGCGTCTTTCGTTTAAACCTCATAAAACATGAGCACGGCGACGTGAATGATGCGGTAACAGCAGCACCAATGCCGACAATCCCTGCCACCGTCTCTGCAGCCGTTGCCTCCCGCTCCTCTGATTCGTTTTTCGTTCGCGAAATGCTGACCACCGGTCTGGAGTTGCGAATATACGCTTTACGTTAAGGAACGTTGTTAAACCACGACGCTCGGTGACAGCTGAATAGGCTGAAAGTTTCAAGAATAGCAAATATTAACAGGAGAGAGCACTGGAAAACATCGGAGTTGAACCTTGTTCCTCAGAGTAGCAGCTGCGTGCGTTGCCAACTACGCCACGCAAGATGCATTACACACCCTAAAGGAAGCTGCGGCTCGAGGCTTATCATATACAAAAGAAAAAATAATAATCCTCGCATCAATGCCTCGACATATCAGCACTTAATCACGGTCACAGTTTCGTAGGGTACACGTCGTGAGAGGTTCGTGCTGGTGGTCGTTCGCCATCACCGTTGGTCGTCGTCATTGCCCTCATAGTATCCTTTATTACCTTTTTGTTTACTGACGTGGGTTCTTGTTGCTACTGTCACCTTCTGTCATCATCGCTGTTGCAAACTCGAAAATATAATGCCCGCTCAAGGAATATCGAAAAAGGCTACAAATCACTAAATTTAACGCGCAGGTTAATAATGAGTTTTGAACATTCTTTACTCCTACAGTTACCATTCTAAGCGCCCCCCCCCCCCCCCCCCCCCAGTTCACTAAATAAAATAACACTTAGAATGGACCTCTCTTGTATGATACAGAGCGCTTCCACGAACATAAGCATGTCCAATAAGCTTCTCGTTCCTTGACGCGTTCGAGCGCGCAAGACGCAGGGGACAACGACACGTGTACCTCGGTATTCAGAAAGCCACGTACGAGACCGATAAGTAGAGGAGGAAGGCCTGTGTTCCCAACACCTCGTAGATCAGAAAGCATAAGTGCTGAAGTTTCTTGCGTCACTAAAGAAGGCCGCCGTAGGCGGGAGATTGGACACAACTACGGCGTCTTCGTTCGGCTGAACTTTGTGTTCAATCAGTAAGAACACGAATCCCAGCACGAACGATGACACCGCAGTCGTGTCCAATCCCTGGCATACGGTGGCCGTCTTTAGTGACGCAGCAAAATTCAGCACTTACTCTTTTTTAACTAGGCGGTATTGTTGTACCTGACTCTCCCGTGCACACGCACATGCTCTTCGATGTGACGTTGAAGGGTCTCGGCATGTTATGCCTGAGTTACCGGGCATGATTCGGAGCTTGTGGATGACCATAGGTTTTGTTCGGAAAAGCAAACAACCAGAGTCCCGACAATGATGCTTCCTACTTTTCAAGCCGGCATTCCCAATGAACGGTGGTTATTTAGCTGAAAACTCCTCAAAATAAAAATCACTTACTGTGACTGTGAAAAAATAGCTTGGCGACGTCCTCATACACGAGAGCTAGAGTGCCGTGTGAATGCTTTAATATATTTGCCTTTGATTGGAAGGATGCGCCATAATGAGGCAAGTTCGGAAGGATTGCCACTTTTATTTAACGGGTTGCAGAAGGAGTGGTTATGCGAAGAATCCCTAATGCAGTGATCCTGACGTCGCTGAAACCGGCGTGTGAAAGAATGAGAAGGAAAAAAATGAAAGATGTTTACAATCCCCTGTAACGCCGATTTAGAACGCAGCTCATGGGAAGGAGGAGGGAAGGGTACTGAGGGGAGATGATGGAAAGTCCCCCACTACTAACATGGACATTGATTGTCGTGTGCTTCACACAAGTCGCAGAAAATGCACATCTTTGGTGACAGCATCGCGTGTAAATTTAGCAGGAATTTAGCCGGGCAATTTTCCCCCTAACTTTAGCGGGGACTTTTTTCCACTAAATTTAGCGGAAAAATTTTTGGTGCTAATTTAAGCGGAAAAATGTTTTCCACTAAATTTAACGGGAAAATGTTCCGCTAAGTTTAGCGGGAAAAGGTTTTCCGTTAGAGTTAGTGGGGCGATTTTCTCCGCTAAATGTAGCGGGAAATAGTTTCTCCTCTAAATTTTGCAGGGAAGGTTCTTCCGCTTGATATAGCGGGGAATTTTTTTCCGCTAACTTAAGCCGGGATTTAGCGTCATCGTCATCATCACTGATGACGTCATCAGTGATGATGACGATGACGTTGACGTCATACGATGACGTGCATGATGACGTCATCCTCTTCGCAATCGTCATCGCGTGGTTATGGCGACGCCGCTCAAACCGGGAACTGGCGTATAAGAGCTGCGCTCTAAAAAGATCTAAAGAGAGCGCACTGTTTTCGCCGATGTTTGAAAGAGGAGAATGCAATATAGTCTCAGGGAGCCCAAGAGACGCAGGGCTTAGCTCGTTAAGCTTAAACTTCTTGCTCGGTATTTTTTTTTTCGGAGTTCTTATTCGCTTATGCCTAAATCTCGTCGACTGGGGAGTGACAAGAGGAGGGTCCGCGGCTAAGTGTGATGTGATCCCCAGCTTGGAGCACCGTGAGTGAAAGCTCGCGCTGCAGAACCCCAGGAATACTGTCTTCAATCCTCACTTCTCCCCGTTTCGACCCGGATGAGCATCGGACGGGCGTGCGGCCTTGTATCGCTAGTGCGCTATGTACATTAAACAACGCAGCCTGGAAGTCGTACTACACTGGCTAAATGTATCGTAAACAGCGTAATACAGTGGCGGTATATATCGGACAGCAGACAAACCTTACGCTGTCTAAACGATAATGTCTTTTTTTTTTCTATTGGCTTTTAGGAGTCAGAATATATTTGGGGCTCGCGACGTCTTACGTTTCTGTCGCAGTCAGTGACTGCAATGAAAGAAACAACGTTAGGCTGACCCGGTGTTGTGTGAGTGCGTACATTCCAGATATTTTCGTTAGGCACTTGCATAGTTGTTGTTTTTTGCTTGAAGTTGTTACTTTTAATTTGAATAAAAACTATTGAACGCCGAAAATTTTGTCCCAAGCTGCGCGAGGCGTGGTTCATGGTATAGTGTAGACTTACCCTTAAGTCGGTGGCAAGTACATCGTCAAAGTCTGTGTCGCTCGTCTCCTCAATGGGCTCTGGCGGTCCCAGGATGCCTGCTGAGTTCACCACGACGCTGACCTTTCTTCCTGGAAAGGAAGACTTGATCTCTCCAAACAAATTGCTGACAGCGGTCGAATTGGAGACTTCCACGTATATGGCCCGGTGATCCCCGTTGTATGATTCTGTAAAACGGGTGCAGACAAAGAAAACGAACGATAAGCCAGTACGCAATCAGCAGGAGGTTAGAGATATGGAATCAGCTTAAAGGACAAAGTAATAAAGTTCCACATACCCTTAAATAATCGGCTGTTTAGGTGGCAAACGTTCCTTACGTGGACCTTTTCCATACATCACATAGAGGACTAGGAGCCTTATACACCTTTTTCGTTTAGCCTTGCACCAAGTTAGATTGTCTCGGTACCCGGTATGCGCTCCAAAAAAAAGCAAGAGATTACAGCCCGAAAAAAGCAAAAGAACAAACAAAAGAAAAACAAACACAAAAACATATATGAAGGACATAACAAGACGGGATGACGGTTGCAATTCAAATGTTAACATGTTCTACTGGCGAGGCTAGAGGAAAGCGATTATTTCACGCATACCGGAAGTTCCAGAATGGAAGATTGCGATGTCCACGTAGGAAAGGTTTATACGCCATTCACAATGCAGAGGGCTAAACCTCTGCTTACAACCGAGACATTGTAATAGGAAGCTTGTCTTCGTTCTGTATGGTGAAATTCTCAGCAAAATTTACGTTGCGAATATTTATATGGCGAGTATTTAATGTGAATCAACATACTGATATACTAGTGGAACACTGTGGAGGAACAATTTCTACAGGAGAGTACGGCACAAGGCCAGGGAAGGGGTGCTGATGAATGAGGCCATCACTCCCGGCGGCCACCATAATCGTAAGAGGTATTTTATAGTCACCTCACGGGAGGGGGGGGGGGGGGGGGGCTCAGAGAGCAAGAAGTAGTAGCGTTCCATACGATTCTGCTCGAAAGGCGTATCTTTTGTCCACTTTTTTTTTCTTTAGTTTTCGGCTAACACAACATCTTCCTACAATACTTTGTATGACGCTGCTGATATACCAAAAGGCGGTTTATTTTACTCATGTTTTATGCCTCCTCACCATATTTCAGCGTCCAGAAGAGGATTTTAATAAGCTAAGGGTGGACGGAACTACGGAAGCTATTAGTCTCTCTCGGCGTCAACTATGTTCTGCTGCGTCTTCAAGGCTGGCGTCGCTTCCTCAGTGCTGCAACTCAGCCCTGCTGCGAGAGCACGTGGTTTCGTCTCGCACCTCTTTCCAACGATATCTAGCGCGAAAGCGAGGCCAAAGAAGTAACGCGCTCTCGCATGCAGCTTTGGCAGCCTTGGAACACTCTGAAAGCAGCGCCACCCTTGACTTTACAGCCTAAAATAGCTTGCGCCGAGAAACGCAAATAGCTGCCGTAAGTCCGTCCTCGCTTCGATTATTAAAAACCGCTTTTGAGCGCAGAAAGAGGGTGAACAACGTAAAAATGGAAGTAAAATGATTATGATAGTAATTCAATTAATGCAAAGGTGCAGCGAGTTAGACAAGAATAAGAATAAAATCTCCCAGCCCACCTAGCTGTGTTTGGAGATTTTTGTTTGTCCTTTGTTTCTGTTATTCTTCCTCTCTAGGGATTATTGTTAAAAAATTGCACCTCATTTGCATACATTAGAAGCGGTATGTAATGTTATCCACGCGGGGAGGGCTGTGTAAAGCGAGAACTAGAGAAAACAACAGGCAAGGGCTTACGTCTGCCGAGCGGAATCGCCTGAAACACTACGTCTTTTCTGCCCTCTGAGGCAGTCACGTGTTACGAAGACCCTCTTGAAACTATTTTAGCAACCGGGATTGATAGCGGCGTTGACGAGAAAACCGCCCCTGCAGGAGCAGTCGGAACCAGAGTTTTGACTTTTGCTGATTAAAAAAACAAAGTAAGATACAGAGCCACGTTAGCCTTGTGGTACAGAATGAGAATACAGGGATCGTTGCTGAACGGAGGTTACATAAGGGCCACATGGAGTTTGTAATGCACACGTTACTGGAATGTACACGTCACTAAGCAAACTCAAAAAGTAACTAATTCCAGTACGCGACTCCAGGTGTTCACAGGAAACTTTTTGCTTTATCTCAATTGCAAGGCACAACTTTTCGTCATTACTCGCTAAGCCATTTTCGTATCTCCATCCGTTTTGTGCTTTCTTGTTTCCTCCTCAGGCAACTACCCTTAGTTTCAACTCGTTCATCATTCTCTGTAGAACACATCCGGAATTTATGTGCTGCAACATCCGCTGTGGTTGCATTGTGGCGGCTTTCAGGGAAATTTTCTACGCTAATCAACTCAGTTTTTGTGGAGAATGCAGCGGTGATAATGTCCCCGTTTATTTCAAGACTAATCTTTTGGCTGTGAAAATTTGCACTGATAAATACTCTCCTTTGATGAATGAACAAAGACGTATATACAGGGTGTTTCAGGGAACCCTGGCCAAACTGTTCTTGTGAAAAGTAGAGATCGAAAAAAGAAAGTTGATCTCACATCGTCTTTAAAAAATGGCTCAGCCAGGGAAAGTTGTAACGTTCGGTATAATTTTACTCTAAATTACATTTGAGTGTTTAAATTATATTAAATTAGTGTATATTTTACTAAGTACATTTTGGACGTCGCCAAAAACCTATCTGTAATTCCAGTTTCCAGAAGAAAGTTATCGGGCACACCAGGCGTTTTACTTAGTTTCAATAAGACCAGAAAAGGAGACACACAACATTAAACTTCTATTCGCGTTTAAGTTTCTGCGTTTTATCAGAACGGATATCATTGTCAGAGGTCCCCCTAACCGCGGCAAAGGCCGCGCATCTATCCCCTTTAATTCTTGTAGGAAGGAAGGAGGTGTGACGTAAGCTGGTGAAATTAAACGCTGTACGGTTCGAATGAAATAAAAAAAAAATAACCTATGATTCTTGTGTTCTCCACTCTTGTGCAAAGATTATATGGTGTCGCACGTTTGTTGCGCGCTTTGCCAAGATTGATCAGGACGGCTGGCGCGTGGGTGGCATTTCACAGGAAACTAAAATTAAATAAACGTTAAATATATAGTTTTCTAAAGTACTTTGAGTTAGCGGTATTGAATTACTCTAAACAGCATTTTTCGCGGGCTCAGTATTTCGCGATTGAGGTCAAAGCTAAAGTTTTAGAATATTTCGTGGGTTCTAATTTTCGTGACCCGGTGGGATCTCAATATACATTCCAATGGGTTTATATGTTAGTGGAATTGTTCCCGAGTCCTATTTTTCGCGAATTGTGGGCGATTCACGGAATGAAAAAATAGGTCCTCGCGAAAATTAAGTTGTTTACAGTATTTCAAAAATGTTCCGAATATTAAAAAATACCTTAAACAATTCCTCGTATCAAAGCGAATTCCTCATAATTCCCTCATAAAAGAGAATTCGTTATAAGACCCTTGTGTTACGTAACGCTAATAAATTCTTAAAATATGCCCTTTGGAAGAAACAGAAGTGCATTGAAACTATTGCCGTTACCAGTAGTTTGTGTTTAACTTTATCTGCAGACCAGTTTTTGCGCGGAGCATCCAAAAAAAAAACGTTGAAATTTTCCTTTTTCACTTTCTTGACAATGTGGTGCAGATTGACACGTGAGCAGTCAGTGTACCGCATGACTAATCACGCTACGCAGTGGCTCATGTTACATAGAAACGAAAGCGCTATTATTGCGTAAAGGATGTTTTAGTTACTGCGGATAACCCTGCTATCGAAATACTATTATAGCATTCCTGACTGGATTAACTTTTTTCTTAGACTCAAGTTTCAAGAGACGTTTAAGAAAAAGAAAGAAAGAAGTATAAAAGACAAGGAGAAGAGATAGTAAAAAGAAACTTGTACACTGGATCTACACCAACGCTTAGAGTATTTTTAATAAACGAGTACTATACTTCGTCTCAGCTTCCGTCCGAGCGCAGCCAAAGCTACGTGTGGCCGGAGCCAATCACACGCCGGAAAAATAGGTCACGCGATCTTGCCTGCACTTTTGTATCAGTCCGCTGCGCCGCTGGTAGTCCGTGCCGCCCGCGCTCGCCGAGTATTTCGTCTGCTCCGGGTGTATAAACGGTATCGTCTGCTGCTGTTTAAAAAAGTGCCCTTTGACGTCTTGAAATTTAGTCACAGGGGATGTCAGTACGTAGGCCAGCTACTGGCGTCTGTGTCCGAACTTTCCACCTGCTCGGCATTTCGGCATAGTTTCGAGATGTACGTACACATTGCAAGGTGCCCGATGACTCGGCCGTTGATGTTCCCTTGTATTGCCTGGATATACAAGGGTTCGAGGCACGGTCCTTTCCACCAGCTTCTCGGCGTTCAATGTGATCGGAAAATGCAGGGGTGCCCTGATTTGGCGCCGCGTATCAGTGAAATGTAGTGGCCAGGACGATTTTCTTGTTTACAACGCATTCGCGCTACGACGCGGCCGGAGTCTCCTGCCGAATTTGAAAGTAGACACTCATCACGACCTCTCGCGCCTGCCGCCCAAACGTGTCTTTGCGAAAGAATGTTTTGAAGCGACTCAGTGAGGAAAACATGATTCGGCCATTCCGGGAGCAAGTCACAAAAAAAAGCCGAGCACTGCAGCCGTGTTGCCAGCGGATGAACGTGTTTTCATTAAACCATATGTTATTTACATCTATTATTAAAAGCGTAAACTTCAGATATCTAATTCTTTTAGTTGCAAATCATTCTCAGCAGTACACATCTGGAATATTGTGGAATGTTTACGCACACAACAGTTATTTAAAAAAATTATTTTTGCGGTCTACTTTTTGGTGCGTAGGAATTGCTCTTCTCGGAGTAGCGAACCGTATCTCAGCCTTCGGCTGCGCTCGGACGGAAGCTGAAACGAAGTATAGTAAGATAATATTTCAGTGGCTATCTTGACCATATGCCCATCCTCCGAAGTTGGCTAAGGCACATGAAGGCGGTATACTCTAGTTTGTTCGCTTATTTTTTTACTCAGTAGTATCTTCATCATATTTCTTTGAGAGTCGTATGCCGTCTAGTTGCACAACTCGTGTTTGCGGTCTTGGAGTAAAGAATCTGTGACTGTTTCGTCTGCAATCACATTCCAGCAATCTCAGAGTGTCCTCGTACCAATGTAGGACTACCGTATTTTCTTGAACTGATGAGTGGAGATGAATTTGCAGGATTGGGTGAATGAGGTGAATATGCAGACATCTTTTATTCATTGAGGACAGAGCTAGGAGTGCATATTTTGAGTCGACGAAGGTGACTCAGAGGTTTGGAATTTGACGACTACTATGTTCCAAGGCTCCCCGTTTCACTGCAAGTTCTTCCGCCGTTGAGGATGTTACGTTACGTAGTTTTGCTCTTATAATATTTTGATGAATAAAATATGCACCCAAGAAGAGAATGATTTAAAAGTCGTATTGCTGTGTCTATATACTTGAGTTGATAGTGATGATCTTCATTATTTATTCACGCGGATGGAGAAGGGCTGATGAGTGTAAACTGAAAAGTTAACTCGGCGAACGTTTGCCATAACCAGAAAAAAGAACGAGCGTCAAGAAGGCAGCACCGAGCATCGTGGGCGGCAGCAGCGAGTGACGATGTGTCGGCGGCGTGACAACTTGCCCTCGCGAAAGTGAATGACTCAGCATGGCCGCAATACACTCAATATCTCGAATGTTCAACCTAAAATGTTTGGCAATGAGCTAGGAAGAGACTGACTCGGCAAGCTCATGTTGCCCTCCATATCTTTCGCACTTTTGGAAAAGTAATCTCGAATACTCTATAAGTAGGAAGAAGCGTTCTTCCTCCGTCATGCACGCGACAATATTTTTTCGAAGCTAGTTACATCATCGCAGTGACCACTATAACCAATTTCTTTAAAATTTCCTGAAAATATTTTATTTTCGCGCATTAAAAAAATGTTTCTGGGTGATTGGTCTAGGCGAGGACAGTAAACTTCAAAGGCATCCAGCGCCGTCCCATTTACTTTTGGTGCGGCTTGGCATGAAAGGACTTTTTTTCTGGGATAAATGATTTTAGAGTGGAACTGTGCAAATTTCATAGCGTTTAGTGGGCCAAAAGAAAGAAGTTAAAAAATCTGAATACTGGTTTTCGCAACTAAAGTTGTGGAAATATGGCTGACCATTTCATACCTTTTTCAATCGAAAGATCTCGCCTTTTCACTATAATACATCTGCGGTACCCAAAGCATGTCCGCCGGCCCTTTCTCACGTATTCGACACGTTCCCTGCGTCAGTGGGACGCATGCAGTCGGCAACAATCAATCTGTCGACAAATTTTGGATTCGCGTTCGTGGAACTTAAGTGCCGTGACGGCATTTGTTATCTCTTGCACACAGCATGATGAAAACTGGAAGTTATCGCATTCCGAAACCAACACTATCAAAGTCGACAATCTGACACTGTTGTTATTTCCGCCGTTTCAAGCAAAATTATTCAGACTGCGCAGTCGGGAAAGCCGTTGGCAACAAAGCCGGGTGGGTTGTCGCTGTAGTATGACATTCATCGGCGGTTCCACGTTACGCAAGGAACACTAACGGCTAACCCTGGCGACCCAAGACGGCCGAGAGAGCTTTCCGTTACGGTGAAATGCTATGCAATACCACGCGATTTCCTATGTTTCGTTTCAGTTGATGAGGAAAGCAGACAAGGAAAAAGTTACAAAATAGTTTCATGCCTCTTCAATCGGATCCACTGAATCGTAGCCACGGCATAACTTGAACATAGCGCAAAGAAAAGTATAGAAGCTAAGAAATTTGCTAATTTGAATTTCGCGTCGTCATAAGCCATGCACCGCGACGTCATTCTTTAAAGGGATACTGAACCAAAATTTCGAACTTACAAAACAAGGCTGGACAGATAGGCGGGACGATGCAAAACCCAAAAACATCACTCACACAGCGATATCTCTAACCGATCTACATATTTTTAGAAAAGAAGCGCCCGACTAAACCCGGCCGACGAGGCCGACAAGGCAAGGCACGTCACGACTCTTATTCCCTCTCCTCCTCACTACGTCCCGTGTCGAGCTGGTGAACCGAAGCGAGGAGGAAAGAAGCGAGGCCGCTCCCCCTCATTCTCAAATTCTCCCGGAGGACAGTGATGTCAGAGGCCTCGCTTGATCGCGCCCTTCTTTTCGAAAAGTGCGGCCATCCGTTTGAGATATCGATGTACGAGCAATGTTTCGGAGTTCGTAGAGTCCCGTTCAACGCTTCTAGAGCCTTATTTTGCGAAATTCAAATTTCGATTCAGTATCCCTTTAAGTCATATGACATATATGTTTTTTGTTTAGTGTTTTACTGCACTGCAGGGTGGTTAGCAATTTACACGAAGAATGAAGTCAAATGTAATAACTCGCGAAAATGTTAAACAAATCAGTGACGTGTTTCTACATGACGTTAACTAATGCTTGTTTTGCTGACCTCGTGTTATTGTGCATTTTGAAATGCTGAAACAAAAATGAAAGCCGTTTACAACTCCCTGTAACGCCGAATTAGAGCGCAGCTCTTTAGAAGGAGGAGGGAAGGGTACTTAGCGTCACGTGTTTTCGGGGGGGGGGGCGTCACGTGACCCTAAGTACCCTTCCCTCCTCCTCCTAAAGAGCTGCGCTCTAAGAACGTGACCTCGGGGGGTCCCGTGACCCCCAGAAAAAATTTTCCGCTGAATTCAGTGAGGAAATTTTTCTGCTAGATTTAGCGGGGAATTTTTTCCGCTAAATTTAGTGGGGAAATTTGCCCATAATTCACCGGGCGGTTACGCCGACGGCGACGCCGACGCCGACGCCGCTCAAGCCGGAAACGGGCGCCTAAGAGCTGCGCTCTGAAGAGTGTAAGTTGCTAACGTGTATGGTCAATCAGGGCTCTAAAGAACCCGTGGCTGCTTAATGGAGGAGTAAGTAAATTGACGAACCTCGCAGCATCTCTATGCTCTCACTCGCGCCCGTTCTGTTCCTGTCTGCCAAGACGACTGTGGCGCCCTCCCGTGCGAGCACCATGCAGACGCTCCTGCCGATTCCACTCGCGCCCCCGGTGACGACGGCCAAGCGGCCGCTGAGTCCCAGAGACTGGCACACGGTCGGAGCACCTGCAGAGCCAGGGTCGTCCCTTTCGCCGTCCGCCCGGTAGAGCGCAATACCTAGAAGCGTGAATAAAAAAATGAACATTTAACGAATATATATTTATTATATATTTATTCTGACCCTGCCCTATTCACTCACTGGATAGATGGTTCCCCGACTGGGAACATTGCCAGGTCTTTTTTGTAAACTGAGAGCGAGTAGACTAGATTTATCTTACGTAATGCCGCTATATACGAGAGCTGCTTACATGTTATTTTCGTGCATATTTGCTATATCCCAGGCTAAAGCAATCACGCACACTGAATGCTCCGTGATACGGTGCTTTTCTCCGAGGGTGATTGGGTTAGCCGGGCATAGAATACGCACAAAAACGACGATCGCCATGACGACGCACTTTTACCGCTGTCTGATTGTCCGCATCGGATTGTAGCGACGGTGGCGGTCCCGGTTAATAGGAAACGGTTTATAGACGGAGGGCTGACACCATCGCTTTATGACACTATTGGAACATTAGTCAGACCAACCATCCCGTTATTATTCGCACTGTCCTTTTTAGCGTATTAAAAAACAATCACTGTATGCGTAACGTATTTTTCTGCGCGTAAACGTGAGCGGATCGGGTAAAGTTTCTTCGGCAAGGCAAACACTCCCCGGGAACGGAATATTTGTTTTTAAAGCTGATAGCGGGAGAGCTGGAAGAGATTGCTGCTGGGTAGCGAAACCAAATGGATCATTTCTTTAAATAGTTATTCAATCATTTATTTATTCTTAGTATTCTCGGACAGCCAAAGCCTCTGTATTGATACGTAATGATGAACGACTTAATCGCAACAAAACATGTTTCAGAGATATAAAACTGTTTTGCACGAAGGTTACAATGCGAGTGCTGAATGCAATACAAGAGAATATTTCGGGTACCTTGATGCGCAACAAACGTCGGAGAGGTTCGCAAAGCCAGCTTCGGAATATTAATGTTGATAGATGTCAGATCAGGGGAATCAATTATCACACGCATAAATTTATATAAAAATCATCATCTCAGACACAACCCCTAGAAGACAATTTGTGTAACTTCATGTGTCCAACAGTTTTTGATATTCATAGTCAAATATATAAACCCTTTTTAAGGCAAACGCCACCAGGTGATGTTCCAGTTTTTGACGCCTTAGAGAAATTCCGATTTATAAAACGAATGAACAAGGGCCACCTTAAGACCGCTGCTTGAAATGCAGATAAACCGTTAAACAACTATTCACCAGGTGAACACCAAGATAATGAAGCAGTGGAACATATGTTAAGATGTATCGTGTATTTTTGTAAACCAGCTTGCCTCCTCAAAGACGTAATATTGTGCAGCCGACGACTCTCGTTAATTCTTCAACTTCGTTGTCCGTGTAGCGTTTATGCTTTCTAGCACTGGTGGCGTAAGTAAGCTCAACAGGCTTGCAAAGACGGTGCATGCGACGGCAAGTTGCTTGGGACGCAAGCGACAGTTCATGTTTGTAAGCTGGGAAAAGGGTCTATAACCGACTTCCAGAACGTTAAAATACGAAGTAAACGGTTTTTAACATTCCCTGTTTTCTCTTGGCTCGTACGCCCAATACAATTCGAGACAACAGAGGAAGATTACAATTTGGCTCGTATTAGCGAAGAATACAACCGAAATACACAGGATGACGTGGAAAATTCGCGCGTAATTTTAGAATCTACACCCAAGCTACCGAAGAGGCATTGATAACGTTAATACCATATACTGCCAAACCCTTATTCCCAGGAGCTCTCAAGTTTTGCGTATTTCGCGAATTGAAAAATTCACGAAATACGATGCAGGTGTCTCAAATTCGCCAAATTTATTGGTCGTGATTATGTCCTATGTGAAAGATTCGCGAAACATAGAGGCCGGGAAAAAAGGGGGTTTAACAGTACAGACGTGCTCTTGACTTTTCGCAACGGGACATTTTCACGCTGATAACAAACCAAAAAGTATGGTTTCATGATCTGATTTGTGTTTAATTTTTCAAAACGTCATTATATTTATATGCACGCCTTGGTACTTACAACAATATTCGAAGGACTTATAGAAGTTTGGGAACGAAACACCACAGCATATCACTGTATAGTGTAGGCTCACGAGTTACGTTGAAATCGGCAGCTTTACTAGGGTAAGGTTGAGCAGAAATTTTGCCTCTAGGAAAAATCTAGAGGGGAAAGTGGGGAGCTTTTCTTTTTTGAGAACAAGGCTATTTACTTTAGAAGAAAGTAAAAATGATAATGAGGCGATCTTTTGGTCGACCAGCGAAACGTAGCATGTGCGGAATGCATTGCGGATACAAAAATAAAACAATGCAGCCTGACAGAGGGATGTCAGATCAGGTCACGACACAGAGTCGCGGTGTCGCGTGACGTCGAGGCTATTTACAAATGACTTTCATGGACACGCAATTAAAATCAGAAGACCCGCACAAGCCTTCGAAATGAAGTGCCATGTTATCCCGGCCGGCGTCTTATCATACGCGCACCATCGAGTAACATATATGCAAAAAAAGGCTTACCCGTGTGAAGAAAGATGAAAAATATTGTCAATGGTTTGCGACACATTCTTAAGTACTACGTTGAAACAGTTGAGTCCGTTGAGTCCTGATTGCAGCAGTGCCCGTTGGATTCATATAACTCAGCTGTGGCGTGTCTGGATCGACTCAAATATGCAGAGGTTTACATACAGGTGTTTTGATGAAGCAAAATACTGCTTCCTTTTTGGATTTTAAATAAAACGCTCCTCAAAACGAGCGACGACAAGCCTTCAGCTGCGCGTGGACTGCAATTTGTGGCATACGCTTCTAGTTAACTTATCTGGCCCGACGTGGCGTGTTCAACTTCTACTTTTATGCGGTGTGTGACTTCCAGCCAAAGTGGAATGTGTGCGACGTGAATAAAAGAGAAAAAAAAAAACACATCAACTTCAAATATATACATAAAAACATATAATGAGAATGTAGCGGTCGCAACATACTGATAACTTTATCATATTTCGTTACAGTTTCAGGGCGATACTGCTATCAAACCAAGATCGCCAGCACTTCTAAATAATTTCGTAGAAATCATCGCTTGAATTTTTATAGTTCTTATAGTTGTCTTGGAGTGCGAACTACTTAGGTACAGTTGGCAGTGTAAGTTTGCGGCGCGCAGGAGTGTCAGATGAAATGACTGGCTGCGCCTTTCGATGGCGGGCGGAAGCTCTCACGCTTTGAGAATGCGCTTCCTTTCGTGCTCGCAGTCATGTCGTTTGCACTCGCATCCTCCAGACGTTCACGAGATAACCGAGACCGAAAAAAGAAAGGTGCCGCTTTTACAGGCAGCATGCCGCGCGTTTGCATCAGCCACCGTGATGGGTCAACGCGCTGTGAGAAGGCGTAGGCAGTCTTTTTCGGCTGGTGTTCCCGTGCCCCACAAAACGTTGTTGCGGTTTCTACCTTCAGATGTAACAGTGATGTCAGTGAACACAGGCAGAAAACATATGCTATTGTTAGTGACTGATTTTGTACCAGACGTATCAAAGAATCGATTGTCAGTTTATGTATTCCAGGCACGTAATTTTTCCACGTTGGTTCATATCCACTTTCCGCCTGGTGCAATGTTGTCACAAATAAAAAAGCAGATGAATTTAGAACAAAAGATAACGCTTAAATAGGTGAAGTTTCACCTACAAACTTAAATTGAAGCTGAGGCGGTTTTAGACACGAGAAACAACACCCGAAGCTAGTTAATGAGAACTCAGCCATGACGAATATCACATTCGTTTCGTCATTTTATGCGCGGATTTACGAGAAAAGTGCCTTCAAAGTAGAGCTGAAGCCACGCCCCTTCGAAGCAGACAGAAAGGGGGAAATTACGAAGCCCGTCAGCCGACGTCACAAAAGGTGCGGCTGGTGGACGCTAGAGTTCCTCGATATGCTCCCCCGAAGGGGGAGAGCACAGTTGCGCATTTGTTTTCCCCGCGCCGCCACGCCGCTATTCGCCGAGAACCATCACGTGAGGAGCAAAGCATCGGGCGCCGTGCAAGAAAGCCACCTTTACGGTCGCTCCGCCGACGTTGCTCGCGCCCCGGCGTATGTTCCCCTGCTTTCGCCCTCCTTCTCCTCCTCTCCTGTTTTCCATGCGTGGTGCCGCTATTCGCCAAATTTGGTCACGTGAGGAGCAAAGCATCCAGCGCGTGCGGGAAAGCCGGCACTACGGCCACTCGCCGAGGCTGAATGCGCAACTCTGCTACCGTAGGTAGCTATATATAGGAACTCTAGTTGACCCCGCCGCGGCTGGCCGCGGTTCCTTCGTAGGCTGATCTATACTGACTTTTCGAGCCGTTGTCGTTCTGCTGCTGCATTGCGCTTGCTTTTATCCATTTACCGTTCGTCTGACCCAATCGCCTGACGTGTTGATGGTTCTCTTGTTTGATCACGGGTTCGCGGAAGTCTCGTGGCACTGTACCAACTGACGCGTGGTGTTGCCGAAACCGTACTCATCTGTAGCCGTCGACTTGCCCGAACAACGCTCGTCGCTGTGGTTCTTCCCACTTACCTCCATTTTCACTCAGACACCAAGATTTAAAAAAAATGGTCCCCGTTATGCAAACACGAGTTTGGGCATTTACATAATTTTTCGTTCGCGACGTGTTTGGGACGGCGCATATCAAAACCATGTACGTATGGGTTTGGGTGTGAAGAAGGCTTGCCTGAACCTGACGCTGTGCCGACCATAATTGAAGATAAGAAGGCAATTCAGTGCATTGAAAGGCACATGCAAAGAGGATACAAAACTAAATAGGAAGTTTAGGTAGACTGTTCTAGAAAAAAATTATTACGTGATTAGAATTGCGCTGTGTGCTGGAAAAGCAGCAGTAATGTAGCCAAACAGCAGGTTTCCACTGGCTCTTTTGTGGCAACTGCCTTATAATAGTGTTTTATTTTTGGTTTCTTATATCATAGAACTGTCCTTGTTTCCCGGACCGATTACTGTACCCAAGATTGTTTTATTTTGCTTTTATTCTACTCCGCTATCCAGTCACTTCGGAGAGGACGGCTTGATGTAATAAGTGGTCAAGCAATTCATCATCCGATTTTCACGGTGCAACTTGTTTTAAAATGGACTGGCTGGGGTTTGATTCCCGCCAGCGCTTGTCCTTTTAATATTTATTTTGATTGCGTGACTGGAATTTTTTCAGATTACTCGAGAATCGTGTTGTAACTTGTTTGTTCGAGCGCGAAAACTTTAAGATACCCACGCGCTTACGAACAGAGCTACGCATGGCTGCTTAAGTCAGTCGTCCTTCAGCCGCCGACAAAGTATGTCTGTTATTTTATGTCTCTCGGCACAAGTTCGCAGCGTTAAACGTTCATTTTAAGATTTACCAATCGCGTTTATGTTTCTATTCGTGACAATATGTTGCGACGAGAAGAAAATGGTACTTACCGCATTGCGCGTAAGCGTCCAGCTATCCACGGCGACGCGAGCAATGGCGGTGCGGGCACGACATCACGACATATGCACAATCGGGCTAAACCAGAAACCAAAACTCTTCGTCGATAGTCTCCTGCTCCCGGCTTGCACCTGAACCACTAGGGGCGCTGGTATTTTGCGTAATGCCCATTCATGGCTGTGCGAGTTTCTCAAGACATCTGAGATCAAGCCCGTTTTTTTTCAAGATGGTTTGTTTTGGGTGACTTGAAGAATTTTTTGCATTACCGATTCGCTTGAAACAGAGAGACTAGGTACGGGCAAAGAGAAAGACTGGCCAAAACACGTGTTCCGACAGATTATGTCGTATATAAATCCTAAGCCAGAGCATTGTTCTCTGAGCTGCATGGGCTGGGGAGGCCCGTACGCTACGATGTTTAGGAACAACGCTTGCTCTTACACATTCAATGCACATACAAGTTACCCAGTAAATACATAAGTGATCATTCTTTCAGTGGTTAAAATTAAACCTTCTGTCAATCCACAAAGGAGAGTAGTGGGGCATAGGCAAACAATGGGTGTGAACCTGTTGTCATCTGCAACAGTTGCTCTTGCAGAGGTCGTGTGTAGATGCACTTCCAGCATGCTCCTTGGTTCTTGGCAAAAGGTTTACTGTTCGAACAAGCCTTTGCATAATCGTTCAGCTTTGGGTACTAGGGAAAAACTAGTTTTCATTTGCTTCCTCAAAAGTTAGCAGGCACCATAGATATGTTATTATAATTGGTTGCTCCTTTGTGAACAAGTGAATAATCGAGATGAGACAATGTTGCAGATTGGAAAGGGGGAAGGGGGGAGGGGTTGGTATTACCATAATATCCTTTTCCAGTTTCGAATCTACAATAACCAAAAATTCATTTGATTTAAATATTCAAGTTTTTGTTATAGGTTTTACATTCATTGGTCCCTTCTTTGCTTGAGTAAGTTGGTTTTGATTTTTTTTTTGGATATCTCTAAACTGCCGATAACTTTGGTATACCTTGTAAGCTTTAGAATGAAAGAAAGAGAGAACGGACAAGCACAAGCCTGCAAACGCATTTGAAGGTTTGTAGTTCTGTGTGCCTACACCCTCTTTTACTCGTGCTTCAGGAATTAATAATTTAGTTTTAAACCATATCTCTCGCGTCAGCTTTTGCTGCTAAGCTCGGTTACCTCTTTATTAAAGTCGTTAATACCTTTCTCGACTTGTCCAATATTAGCGCTCAAGGAACAGATGAATTCGCCTATACTGGCAAACTAGTCATGGACATATTTGCGATATACATTTTTGTTTATCCCGAGGGGATATACATCTAATTCACTGATGAAGTTCGCAAAGACTAGAAAAGAATGAAGTTCGTGAAGAAGGGCAAGTAGCAGAAATTTCAAATAATATAAAAAAACGAACTTCTAAATGCATAATTGTGTCGTTATAGAAAGTTCTTACCCTATCGCTACCAATACCAAAAAGTTCGAAGCAGATCTAGAAATCGCTCGTTTTAAACGAGCAATATGTTTAACGTATCTAACAAACTCACATCTCTAGAAATCACGCCTAGCCGGTTGAAGAAACAACGAGGGTTGCACTGTTATCGAAGCTTTACTCCAAGAAAGGCCCTTTTTTGCGCTACAAACCTTCTTGAAGAACATCCAGGGGTCACCGGCAGCGGTCTGTAAATTGAAGATATATTTATGTGTCAGCATCTCTTGACCACCTCAAAAGTTTGCGCAAATTTTGCTCGATTGTCTGCACTTGTGTCCAAGTCTTACTTTATGAATATTTATACTTTTACATAAGATGACTTCGTAATGTCATAAACGACTCTAGCTTCGTGTTATACCCCATGAATTTTATTCTAAAAAATAAAATCGACATTATTATGAGTATTATTTAGTACTTTATATTTGTTTGAGTGATGAACATACTACTAATGTAGATAAGAATTGCTTTCACTGTGAATCGCAAATCGAACGTCCAAATGAATTGAAAACGTCCGACAGATTCTGGAATGGGATTAACAGGCCCACTAATTGGACATTGCCAACTCTTGTACGTAAAGTTTCAGAATTATATTCATGTAATTGTTTGCTTTTCCGAATCTGTTCGTACAAAT